TGTGGCGATTCCCGCGGTCACCTTACTTCAGATGCGGCGCTGTGACCGGCGATTGCTCCTTAGTCTAACAGTCAAATTCCTTCTGCCTATTCTCAAATGCCTTCTGTACAAACTTTTCTTATCACTATGGCCTTCCATGACTTCTCTTCTCCCATGGAACCGGGACCTGAAGATCGCAGTTGCCAGGGTTGAAATTAATTTATCCCCTGCGATAATAGGACTACCAGTTTTTCGGTTACTTATGTCCGCGTGCTCTGATGGGCCTCACCCAGTACTACTAACACGAAACGCACGATTTCGCGTTAAAAAGCGAGCAGCTGACCTTTAACACAGAGTACACCATGGAGTCTGTAAGCCACAACATCAGCACTGGCCACAGTAAAACTAATCTTATCTCACATTGCATCGAAAAATGGAGCACTCCAAAATTATTTGTGATGGCTGCAATAGTAACAATAAAAAACGAAAGCACCAGTAGCACACTTCGTATCAACTAGCCTGCTACTGCGGAGAGGGCGACAGGCCCCTACCAAGCGGACACCCCAATTAACAAGATTATTAATGGCAAGATCGAATATGAACAAGGCGAAGATCACGAGTTGAGCAGAATTTATTGGCGTCATAAAAATGCGTGACCTCTAATTCATCTGCAAACGGTCATTGCCTGTTAATATAGTAAATTAACTGTCCAAAGCATGTGTTGGACTCGATGAGCCCCATATGTTTGTCGCTGTTCATGAAATACGTTTTAAACCTCCAAACTAAGACATGCCAATCATTCCACGCTGATTTGATCAAGTCGCTTAAAAAACAGCCTACAGACGAATCCTTCCCTCTAAACCCAGATGACTACATTGCTAACAGGTCAGACTTGACACTGACAAAATTGCAAGCCTAAGCTCTCTCCTTAGGGCTCACATTTTGTGTACCAAGAAAGAAAGTAAACCCGACAGAGATTGAGGCCCAATTTGAAGATCTATATTACCAGTTATCAGGCCTGAAGCCGACGTCAGAAGAATCTGCGAGATGGCTTAAAGCGAAATTCGTAGATATCGCCTATCAATATAGAACAACCCCGGTTATTCAGCACTCGCTTTTAACTAAGCAACACCTTAGTACTTTAAATGACCAACGAAAGGACACAGATGTCGTTATCTCGAGACCAGACAAAGGTAGCGGCGTCCTGATTCTAAACAAGGAGGATTACAAAAGAAAGATGGAAAACATATTAAATGACCCCAGCATTCCATGGGAAAGAAGAAACAAAAGCACTGGAAGATCGTATTGGGAAAAAGGTCAAATCGCTGTTGGAAAGACAGATAATAGACGAGAACATGGCTGCCCGTCCTTGGCCTGTAGGGTCACATATTCCTAGGCTATACGGGCTACCAAAATTACACAAGCCTGGAGTGCCCTTACGGCCAATTCTATCAATGAGAGGTTCACCGCAGCATCAGCTTGCCCAATGTCTAGTCCAACAAATTGAACCTATCAGATGCAACCTTGCTGCTCACAAGACCAAAAACCTCTTTTCGTTCGTAGACGAGCTGAAGAACCGAAGTTTATGAAATAAACACATGATGTTACTCGACGTGCAGTCTATTTACAAACGTGCCACTGGACGAAACTATTGACATAATTTGTGAGCATGCGGCTGAAACATGTCTGGAAGCAAGTCAACTACGGAAACTACTACAGATATGCACGAAGAATGTGCAGTTCCTGTTCAATGGACAGCTTTATCGACGGTGTAGCTATGGGCAGTCCATTAGGACTAGTCCTAGCAGATATTTTCATGTCGAACCTTGAACAAAAACTGGCCAAACACATAGAAAAGACTGCTTTTTGTAGACGATATGTGGATGACATGTTTGTCATAGTCGAAGACCCTAAAGAGGGAGAACTGCTACATAAAGCCATGAACGAAGAACATGCAAAGATCAAATTTAG